AATCTCGATTCGGCACTATCTAGCCTTCTGAACATTCCGGAAGTTGATGACCCCATTGTGGGTCTGGTTTTCTCCTCTACCCCTTGTGAGGCCCTAGAGGCCTCGAAACCTGATGACATGCGGGCCGAGTTGGCGCTGCGCAGGGCCCACCTATATGACGCCTGGGCCATTAAATCAGCTATGGCCGCTTCCCTTTTCACAAGGTCCTCTATCCGGTGGCTACGTCAGCTCAAGGAACACGTCCCCGCTTCCAATCTCAGAGCACACCAGGACATAGCGAAGTTAGTGGCTGCAGCCGAGTTCTCGGCTGACGCCACTTACCAGTCGGTAAAATTCTCTTCCAGGGCCATCACATCGCACGTCACGGCTCGCCGCATGCTGGCTCAAACACTGGCAGACGGACGTAAAGAATAAGGTCAAGCTGGCCACTGCTCCCATTAAGGGAGATAAACTGTTTGGCCCAGCTTGGAACCACTGTTGGTCGAGGGCCGCAGTAAGAGAAAGTATCTACCCCCCTTCCCGCCCAGATACCCTAGACCCCCTTCCTTCCGATCCCAGGACCGCACGGTCCCGGGCGACAGGACCAGACGCGGTGGCAGCTACAAGAGACCCTTTCGGGGATCGGGAGGAAGGCCCTACCGCAGAAGGTGGAGCCTCTTCCTCCCTCCCCATTGGCGGCCGCCTCAGCCACTTCGCTGCCCAATGGGACATATCCACATCCGATGCATGGGTTAGGGACACAATCAGGTTTGGTCTCGCCCTGGAGTTCAGGTCCGCCCCCCCCGATTATTTCATCCCATCCCCCCTCCTCAAGGGATCCCTCCAAACGTGCACCAATGGATGCAGCCATCCATCATCTTCTTGACATTCAGGCCATTCAACCTGTCCCTCCGAATCAGAGAGAAAAGGGCTTTTACTCCCATCTCTTTGGGGTGCCCAAACCCTCTGGGAGTTGGAGAGTCATCCTGGACTTGAAACGGCTCAACCGTCACCTTATCCAGCGTAGGTTCAATATGCACTCCTTGCAATCAATTCTTTTAGGCACCAGGCGGGGAGACTGGTTATCTTCCATAGATCTTTCGGAGTCATTCCTCCATATTCCAATCAGGCCCTCCCATTACAAATTCCTCAGGTTCTGTCATAATAGCCTTCATTATCAATACGTGGTCCTTCCCTTTGGACTGGCCTCGGCCCCCCGGACCTTCACCAAGGTCCCGGCGGCCCTGGCGGCTTATCTCAGGAGCGTTCCCGTCCGCCTCCACTGCTACTTGGACGTTATCCTTATTCTATCCCCGTCCAAATCCCAGGCAGTCAGGGATACCAGGGTCACCCTCTCCGCCTTACGGGCACACGGGTTTCTAGTCAATTGGCAAAGAGCCAACTTACCCCTTCCACCCGAATCAACCTCTTGGGTGCCATAATTTATTCTGTTTCTCAAAGAGTTTTCCTCTCTCCGGAGAGGTTCCTTAGCATTCAAGCCCTGGTCAAACAGAGCAGGCGTTCAAGGAGGGTGGCCTTGCTGGACCTCTCTGAATTGTTGGGCAAAATGGTGTCACCCATCTCTATTATTCCCTGGACCCGTCTACACAGTAGATCCCTCCAGTGGTTCCTGCTCCCGTTCCAACGATCCGGAAGAAGCTACTCGAAGGCCAGAATCAGGGTCCCTCCAAGGGTCCTCACGTTTCTTCTCTGGTGGACCAATCCCACCATCAACAGAGGCCACCTCTTCGCGGAACCTCAATGACTCTCCGTCACTACGGACGCAAGCCTGTCCGGTTGGGGCGCTCATCTCGACTCGCTCTCGGCACAGGGCAAATGGTCGCCGACCGAGCAGAGGTGCAGCATCAATTGGCTAGAGCTTCACGCTGTCCATCTGGCCCTGTGCAGTTTTTCCTCAGATCCGCAAACATCACGTTCTCGTTCTCACGGACAACGTCACGGCCAAGGCCCATATCAACAGGCAAGGGGGCACCCAGTCCATCCAGCTAATGAGGGAAGCCGAGCGCCTTTGCCGCTGGGCAGAATCCAACCTCCTATCTCTAAAAGCCGAACACATCTCCGGAGTAGACAATACTCAGGCGGACTGGCTGAGCAGGGCCACGGTGGACCAGGCAGAATGGCGTCTCCATCCATCCCTATTTGAGGAAGCGTCCAGAATATTCGGCCTTCCGGTGGTGGACCCTTTCGCCTCCCCGTCCAACACTCAGCTTCCACGGTTCTTCTCCCGGTATCCGTCTCACCGGTCGGAGAATCACAACGCCATGCGTTGCCCATGGCCCCCAGGGCTCCTATATGCCTTCCCTCCGTTCCCGTTAGTTCCCAGAGTCATACAGAAACTCATACAGGAGAGAGCAGACCTTCTCCTGGTGGCTCCCTATTGGCCCAGGCAACCGTGGTTTGCGGACCTCCGCTTTTTGTCGGTAACGCCCCCATGGAGGATCCCCCCGGACTGGGTCTCCCTCTCTCAGGGGCCCCTTCTGCATCCGGAGCCTCAATGGCTCCAGTTAGCCGTCTGGAGGTTGAGCGGATCCGCCTGACTAGTGAGAAGCCCTCAGTCAAGTCATCGACACTATTTTGGCCGCCAGGCGACCTTCCACTACACGAATTTATGATGCCACTTGGAAGGGGTTCTGCAAGTGGTGTAGCGGGTCTCAGATTGATCCCCTCTCTCCCTCTGTGGCTCAGATCCTAGAATTCTTCAGGAAGGCCTTCGCAAGGGGCTCGCACCTAACACCCTGAGACTACAATTTTCTGCCCTCTCAACCGTGGTCTCCTGTGATAACTACGGTTCCCTTTCTCATCACCCCCGAATTAGATCTTTCCTTAGGGGCGCCACCAACCTGTGCCCTCCCACTGTTCACAGGTTCCCCACATGGGACCTCAACAGGGTCCTCGTTTCTCTTACTCGTTCCCCGTTCGAGTCTTTGAGGGATTAATCCCTTCAGTTTCTCACCTTTAAGGTAGTTTTTCTAGTAGCTATTACTTCTGCTCGTCGAGTTTCGGAATTAGCAGCTCTGTCAGTCAGGAGCGATCTATGCGCGTTCCATGCAGACCGAGTGGTCCTTCGTCCCGACCCCACCTTCCTACCCAAAGTCAACTCTCCCTTCCATAGGTCACAGGAACTGGTTCTACCAAATTTTTGGCCTAGGCCCTCCAGGGGCAGGGGCGTCCTCTGGCACTCCCTAGATGTTAGAAGGGCCTTGCGTATATATATTAACCGCACTCAATCCATGAGAAAGTCGGAATCCCTCTTCCTATCCTTTCAACCCAGGTCACTGGGGCTTAAGGTTTCTCCTTCCACCATCAGTCGCTGGATCAGGGCCACCATTGCGAGGTGCTACCTTTCCCATTCCCTGCCCGCTCCGGGTGGAATAACCGCCCATTCCACCAGAAGTGCAGCCACCTCGGCGGCCTGGGCCACGCAAGCCCCCATCGCTGACATTTGTCGGGCAGCCACCTGGACCTCTCCGTCCCCGTTTATCAGACATTATAAAATAGATACGTACGCCTCAGCGGAGGCCTCTTTTGGCCGACGGGTCTTACAGAGGGTCATCAGTGAGCCGGAGGGGCCTTCGGGCCAGACGGAGTCCCACCCGTAGGACAGCCCAGCTTTGGTATGTCCCAGTCTCTGGATGCTCCGAGCGGCTCGAGGGAGAATGGGCGTTGGTTCTTACCTGATACGCCCCTTCTCGGCGAGCCGCGAGGAGCATCCAGCCCCACCCTAATTTTCTCCGTCTGGTGGGGACTCTTGCTTCAGCCAAGGAGCCAATAGTAGATCAGAAAGAATTAATAACCTCTCTTCTCGTTATCGCAAAAAACTGGGGAGACGCTGCGCAATACCACGTGAGGGGGCGGAGCGTTTCCTCATCTAAAGCTCAGCCTGCAAGAAGAGGACTCAGAAGCACATCCCAGTCTCTGGATGCTCCTCGCGGCTCGCCGAGAAGGGGCGTATCAGGTAAGAACCAGCGCCCATTTGCTTCCCTCGCTCAGAAATATTCAGTCTTTGTCTGAACTTGTTCAGACTTCTGCACACATGGAGGAAGTCAGCTCTGACAAGCAGGGAGGGCTTGTTTGATCTCTGCCAGTTCTGAGTTGGTGTATTTATCAAGGAAATATAGTCCTGCTTAAGCGTGAGACCCTATACCAGTGGTGGCTAACCTTTTTGGGCTCCTGTGCCAAAAATGGTGTTCGTGCGCGTGTGCCAGCACCTAGAAGGCAATGCGTGCGGCCCCCCATGCCCCCTGCGCATGCACGCACAATCCCCCCCACCTGCACTGTGCCTCCCAGCTGATTTTCAGCCCGTTTGAGGCCTTTTTTTGGCCTCCCAGAGGCTCGAGGGAAGCCTCTGCAGCCTTTGGAAGCCAAAAAATGGGCCCGTTTTGTCATTTACGGTGTTTCCGGAAATTCAAGAAGTGATGAAACGGGCCTTTTTTTCGGCCTGCAAAGGTTGCAGAGGCTTCCCTCAAGCCTCTGGTAGGCTGAAAAAGGCCTCAAACGGGCTGAAAATCAGCTGGGAGGCACACCCATGTGCAGTGAGGTAAGTTTGCCTGGGGCTCGTGTGCCCGCACAAATGTCTCTGCTATAGGTTTGCCGTCACAGCCCTATACTATTTCAGACCAGGGGCTGTCCAGTCTTTTCTTTAAAACCTCCTTGAGTCTCATCCCCTCATGAAACGTCTAGAAATCCAATTTGCTCTAGATCGCTATATTTTGTCCCTATCTGTAGAAAACATACCTGTTCCTGAGTGAGAGAGAAAACACAACAGAAACGGCCTACTGTACTGAAGTTGCCCCTTCAAAAGCCACAAAGGCCTTTTCTGGGTGGAATTGCTTCATACGTTACGCGCCCTTCATGTTTCCCGTTAATACTGTGTTTCACTTCCAATCTGGGTTTGACCAGGGCCAGATTTTATGCCCTTATGTACAATGAAAGTTGGCTGGCTTGCTTACTTGCTGCCCAAGACTGACCCCTCTGCGCTTGGACTTCTCTCCTGGTCTCAGCTGCAGCATGAGAAGGCAGAGCTGGAGCAGCACCTGGAGCAGGAGCAAGAGTTCCAGGTCAACAAGTTGATGAAGAAAATTAAGAAACTGGAAAATGACACCATTTCAAAACAGCTCACCTTGGAACAGGTAAGTCCCAGAGGCTGGGGGGGGACATCGGCAGTGCTTGCATGGTGTGTGTGTGTGTGTGTGTGTGTGTGTGTGTGTGTCTGGTGGCCAGCACAGTTTGCAGCCCAGCTTTTAGGGGAGAGGAAATATTCCTTTTTGGGGGGGGTTGATCCCCCACCTGGGAAGAGACGGGACGGGAAGGTTGAAGGAAAGGTGCTGGGTCTGTGGAGGGAGGTTCAGTGGAGGACCAGGGAAAAGTCCAGAGGGAAAGCAGCCCCTGAGGATCCACTAAGACAGTGGCCCCCAACCTTTTTTGTGCCACGGCCCGGTACCGGCATCACAAAATGATCCACGGCCCGGTACCGGCATCAGCACGCATGACAAGGCAAGGCGAGCCGAGCGACCGGCCAGCCAGCCGTCCCCCGCTTCTCCCCGCCACCTTCAACTCCTCTGTACCTTTTTTGTGCTTTTTTGTGCTTTCTTAATCTCCTCCGCCATCGGGACGGCTCTTCGTTTGAAGCCGCCCACCCCCCTCAATGAAACTAAGGTGCGAGGATTCCTTCAGGACCCAAACGCCACTTTCCAACCAGAAAAAGCTCACCCGGAAGCACTTTCTCGTCGAAACAAGATGGCGGCACCCAGCAAACCGGCAGCCCGGTAGAAAATGATCCACGGACCGGTACCGGTCCGGGGCCCGGTGGTTGGGGACCCCTGCACTAAGAGACAAGGAAGCCTTAACCACATCTTATAAGGAAAATCTGTTCAAGATGTTTTATAGATGGCTTCTCCCACCCACCAGATTAGCTAAAATGTATAGCTCCCAATCTCCAATATGTTGGAAATGCTTGAAAGAATGCAGCACTTATTACCATATGTGGTGGAAGTGCAAGAAAATGCAAGAATTTTGGCGCAAAATTTGGCAATGGTTAGAGGAATTGCTAAACCTAAAAATAAATTATACACCAGAAATGTTTATATAAGGAATAACAAATGAGAATCTGAAAAAAGCAGATATATGTCTTAATTATTCATATTATCACAGCCGCAAGATTATCAATTGCCCAAACCTGGAAATTAAAAGAAATACCTAACGATGATGTAATAATACAAAAATTTTTATACTGCGCCGAGTTAGATAGCTTAACGTTGGAACTGAAGGAGCGAGATACTGCAGAATTCTATGAAATATGGGGGGGGGGGGAAATCTATAATTGGAGGAATATGAAAGGAAGTTAAAAATAGTGAAATAGAAACTAAAGAGTTTATACCGCAACAAAATGTCTAAGATAGAAACGGATACAAAGATTTATAATGTAAATATGTATACAGATGCGTGTGTGTGTGTGTGTGTTAATATTGTTTGATGACATTCTGCTATTATAACAATGTAAAATGTTGATATATGTCAAAAGATCACCACGTTCAAATGTTTTTAAAATCTAATTTTCAATAAAAATTTAATAATAAAAAAAAGAGACAAGGAAGGGAGGGGAGATGGGCTTCTTTGCAGCCCTCTGGCAACTTATTACTGACTTCAGTGTAGGGCTGAGGTGATAGCTTTCCCTGTTCCCTAGTAATAAAATAGGAGGACAGATTTGGCCTGCGCCTTGTTGAGGTAATTCCCCGTTAGGAGAATGAGCGCATACAGGGAGACGTATTTGAGAGTAGTGTTTGAATAATACACACAGAGCACACAGATACACTGTACAGTAAATGTAGGTTTTTACTTCCAGAAAGGTTTAAGCAAAGTCCAAAATAAGCAGTCCAAAAGTCATTCACAGGTAAAATCAGTCAGTTTTCATCCAGGGATAATCCAAATATCAAAGTCCAGTGTCAAAAACAGTTCAGTATCAGACTTACATTAAATCCAGTAATATCAGTCAATTAGAAGAAATGGAGCAACGGCAATACTTTCCAACAGAAGGAAACAGAAATACTCACTCAGGCACACTCTCTTCTGAGACTAAGACTAAACAACCCAGGTTTCTGGCTCCATCTTATGGCCGTTTGAGAAACCACACCCAATTGCATGCTCTTGTATTCCCTTAAAGATATAGTACTAAAATGTTTATCCTGGTTTATATATTTCTAACCCAAATACCTGTTAGGTGACTTATATTCCTAACACGCCTCCTTAAATATGCTAACTGGTGACATGCACTTGAAATTTAAAAACCGTGTTTCCTTCTCTTCTATGGTGACAGTTCTGCCACTTTATTTTGCCTTCCTTTATTTGTTAAATTTATTTGCCCCCTATCTAGCCAGGAGGCTCCTCTGGGGGCTTACAGCAATAAAAAGGAAGAAAGGAAAAGAGTGTGATCAGCGCAGGAGTAGGGTAATAAAGCAATGAAATAAACAATGAAGAAGAGCAGAAGGGGCAATGCAGCTATATGATTGTCATAAAAGAAGGGTGGGCGGGCAGAGGGCAAAGTGGGCGGGAATCTGCCATCAATCCAGCAGCCAAATATAACTTTATATTCAAGGTCAAACCTTGTGTTGTTGATTGTTGATGGTTTTGTGAGGTGTTGCAATGGTACGTGAGAGAGGATGAAAAACTGTTGTCTAGGGCAGGGGTCTCCAACCTTGTCCACTTTAAGACTTGTGGACTTCAACAAGCAAAGCTGGCTGATGAATTCTGGGAGTTGAAGTCCACAAGTCTTAAAGTGGACAAGGTTGGAGACCCTTGCCCTAGGGTACAGTTAGATCAAAGAGGGCATAGCCTGCAGCTGCATAACAGAAGGAGAAAGAGAACCTCCCAAGCTTTTCAGGCTGTAAGGGAGAGGGCAGGAGATTGGTATTTTCAGACCTGCAAGGTTCTGTCCACGTAGCTTTACCATAATACAGAGTTAGCTCCACCTGGTCATGTTTCCTTTCTGGTCTACCTACCAAGGGTGACACCTGTTTTCTGAATTTTATGCAGATAGATACTTGGCATTAAGAATAAGCAAGCTAGCCAAAGAACTTCCTGATTAAAAAAAATGGATTTTGCGGTTAAGCCTTTTGCAATAGAAAGAAAAGGATCTCAAGGAGGCCCTTGCCACTTCTTCACATTGCAAGAGACTTGCAGTATTTTATTCACCATCTTGCTAGAGTTTTCCCTCATTCCTCTTGCTTTTATATTCTAAGAGCCCTTTATAGCCTCATTATTAAAATTACTAGTGGATTCTTTGGTCTTAATGTTTGATTCCTGCATTTGATTCCACTATCAGTTTCTAAAGTAATGGTATTTGGTGGAAAGGGGGGTGGGGGGGTTTGACTGGATTCTTCTCTTAAAAACAAAAAAAAAATCTGCTGTAAGATACTCTCTGCTCTATCTTCGTGCTAAAAGGAAGTGTGTGCACAGAGAAGACTCCTCGGCAGCCCTGCCCGTGCTGGGTTATGCTGCCTTCGGCTCCTGATTAAACCAGAAATATTCCCTGTGGTTATGCTGGGTGGGTGGCTTTTGTTCAGCTGAGAACTCCCTCGGCCAGCGCGTTCCATGGGAGCAGAAAGGGATTGTGGTTACTCTGGACTCCAAACAGCGGTTGTGTTCCTCAGTCCTGAGAATTAGAAGTTACCTTCTGCTGCTTCCCAGCCTTTGTGGAAAGGTTACTTGTGTCCCTGAATTCAGCACCAGATATTATTATAAGCCCTTGAGCAAAGGGCTTCCTTTGATTGCCACATCCTTACTAGGAAATAAATCTCTTCCCTCCAGCTCTGCTTCAGTAGCTGATCTAACCCATTTAGAATTGGTTGTTTAGGTTTTTTTTTTTTTTTTTTTTTTGAGTTGCACTGCAGCTGCTGGGGACGTTCTGGGCACGTTGTGAATTTCTCATTGAAATTGAAAGTGTCCTGTTCACTCCTTTGTGTGGCTATTTAGTTGGTTCAGTTTTCTTAACAAGAGCGCAACTCAGAGAGGTTAACAATCGTGCTCCCAGGTGCTCATCCCATTTCTTTCTGACAGAAATGCTCCTTTCCCCTCCAAGGAGCCCTTCCTCTGCCTCGTGGCAGAGAGTGGTTGGTTGGCTGGTGGGGCAGTTGGCTCAGTTCCTCTGCAGTGGGGACAAGAGGAAGAGCAAGCCCAGTTTCACCTGGAGTGCAATTTGAACCAAGAATCAAGGGTTGGTAATTTGAGGGCACCCCTTTCCCCAGATTGATAGCAGGCCTGTTTGCTTCTCTATATACCAATCATTCTGTGCCCCTTCCATGCCAAGAGGCCAGGCTGTTCTCCCAAGATGTGCTGCTGCTGCTGCTCCCCTTCCCCAGGTGACCTTCTGCCTCTTCTCGCCATCTTGGCTGGTGACCAGTGCCCCCTCCTTTCCATTAATCCCCCATGAGCAGTGGGTGCCGTTAGAGGAAGAGAAGCACCCAGGCCAGCCCTGAAGAACAGCTCCAGCCAGCCTGCCAGTGGAATGGGAATTGCTCCAAGCTGGAATAGGACCTTCTGCTCTTCCAGCAGGACATTGGGATGCCTCTTAGCTCACCTTCCTTCTTAGGATTTTCACAGAGATTAAAAAGATAGGGTCATGCCCCTGTTGAAGTGACTCCAAGGGAGAGGAGGAACAGCTGACAGGGAGTGGGAGTGGGAATGTGGCTCCGGAGGTTGTGGAGGAAACTGGGGAAGGGCACAGGCCGGCTGGGCATTCAGAGGAGAGGATAAGGGAGGAGTGAATGGCGTGGTCTACGGGGGAGGAAAGGGCCCTGATCCCCTTCATGGGCTGCAGTTGTCAGGACTGTTTAAAAGGACAAACTGCGCATGGCCCAGTGCTGGAAGCAAAGCATGAAATAATTCTAGTCTTTCAGTTCCGAGTTCTGGCGTCCTTCCCAGTGTGTGTATTTCGATATCTGTGGACGCCTTCAAGCCCTTATCCTGCCTTGTCTCAGTAATTGCTTCAGTGTGGTTTGTGTTGTTTTTTCCTGTTTATAATTTATATGTATTTTGAGTTTGAACAGCACTTCTTCCTTTTCGCAACTGTTTGTGGGGGAGTTTTTTCCCCAGTCAATGATAATTGGGCCTTTGAAGCCAAGTTGAAGGGATTAAAGGGACTTCCCCTGTTTTTGTGACTTTGTTGCTTTTGTATCCCACACTGGGTCATCACACCTCTACAATATGTGCCATTATGTGAAAAGCTGGAAGAACAGTTGGACAGGTGCCAGGAGACTGTAAGAGAAGAAGGATGGGTGGTGGGAATAGATGAGGGAGGTCATTCTCTGGCCAACACTTGGAACAGCGACCATTGGAGGGCAGTGCCCACTCGTCAACCCCAAAAGATTAATCTCTCCCCCCCCCCCTCCCAGGGTCACCTGAGATAATCCAGAAGCCACTAATCTGGATGTTTGAGCGGGCATTTTTCAGATCTTTTGCTTCAGTAGCCTCTCCCAGAACCCACAAGCTGCAACTGAGTTTGGGGACCCAGTCAAGTTTATTATTTTGATTAGTAAACCAAGTGAGACTTAAATTGCCATGAAAAGGGAATTTGGCGCAAAGGGATGCACGAAGCATCGCTCTCTTTCCAAAATCGCCACTGCCCAGAATGAGAACGGCCTGATTTGGTGACATCAAGCGCTGTGTTGTTGTTACAGAGTCAGGCTGGGACCCTCTAAATTCCGTGTTCAGGATCCCTCCCCGCTTGGTGGTGGAACTGTCTGGGTGACTTGAAGCTGGTTGCTTTCTCTTAGCACACCTTCCCTCCTAAGAGAATCAAAAGAGGGCTGGCCTTGCCTTGAACTCCTCAAAGCAAGAATAATCGGAGAACAAGACAGAGGAAGCCTGGTTGGCTGGCAGCGGTCAGGTTGACCTTGGCTGAGCTGGGGGACTAATCAGGATCGGAGCTGATTAAGAACTGAGTGGGAGATGAGCAGGAGATCTCAGGCTGCAGGCCAGACTGGGAATCCCAAATTGCCCCACCCCATCTGGGAGAGGAGCAGCCATGCCAGTTCCATACTCTTGCTAAGTGACCTCTGGGGCACGACCTTGGCCTCTCTGGCCATCGAACCTGGCAGGAAAGTAACTTTCTTTTTACCTGGACAAACGAATTAGAAAGAAACCAGGAGGTGCGCTTATTTTCCTCTTAAATCAGTGGTCGCCAACCGTTGGGTGGTGGTCCATGAGAAAATTTTGGTGATCCTCAGAGAAATGTCACCCCCAAAGCAATTAATCCAGGCTGCGCAGGAACATAAGGCCGCCCACATGGCCCGCGGGAACACAAGGGTTGCGTCACTTGCATTGTGAACAACACGAGGTAGTGAGGGAAGGGGGGAAAGGGCAGAGGGGGGGAACTTGCCCCATGCGCCTCATCTGGCCACCGGGCTGCTTCTTTCTGCTTCTTTCTTCTTCTGCTTTTGGCTGCACACAAGGAAAGCAGCAAAAGTCTTTCTTTCTCTCCCTGAAACTCCGCCAGAAATGAGTCTTTGGGACCCTGCAAGGCCTCCTGCTCCTGTGCCATTCTGGCGGAGTTTGGGGGAAAGAAAGAAAGAGTTCTGCTGCTTCTGCTGCTTTCCTTGCATGAAGCCAAAAGTCTCTCCCCCCCCCCCCCACTCCCCCCAGAATGGAGCTGGAGATGGTATAAAGAATGATCGAATGGTAGGAAAACGGGGTGGGGAATTTTCCTGTAGACTTTTTGTGGGGATTTTCCCAGGGTCTCTGGTCCGCGGGATTTAAAATTATGACTTTGGTGGTCCCTCAGGTCCAAAAGGTTGGCGACCCTTGCTCTAAATAAACGGAAAGAAAAGCAATATTTCATTAAACAGGTTTTTTTTCCTGTTTCCAAGTTTCTGGATCAACAGAATTTTATTTCAGCTTGTGCAAGCAAAAGATATTTTTTTGTAAGAAAGGATGGCAATGTGAATGCAGCTTTTGAGTGTCCTTGAATTGGTGCCGAGTTAAGCTGTGGTCTAGCTCAAACTTAGGAAAAGGGGACGCCCGTTAACCAACCCCGCTTTGCCTCCTAGCTAAGACGTGAGAAGATTGACCTGGAAAACACACTTGAACAGGAGCAGGAAGCCCTCGTGAACCGTCTCTGGAAGAGGATGGACAAACTTGAAGCCGAAAAAAGGTGGTTTTCTCCTTTGCTCCTCCCAACCATTCACTCCATTTCGGGAGAGGGGGAGGGGCAGATTTGACAGCTTCTCCCTGAAATGCAGCTATTTCAAGGGGCAATAAAAGAAACAGGCAAGAAGAGAACAGCCAACTATGTCATGTTGCAAGGCCAGAGAGTAATATAACATGGCATTTAAGACTGGTTCACTAGAAAGGATCTTTTCTGTCCTGTTAATAGACTTTGCTTTATGCATTAACTCAGAGGTCTCCAAACTTGGCAACTTTAAGATTTGTGGACTTCAGCTCCCAGCAATTCTGGGAGTTGAAGTCCACAAGTCTTAAAGTTGCCAAGTTTGGGGATCCCTACGTTAAATATTAGCTACTGCTATTTGTACATCTCTGTGCCGAATCCCGATTTTTGTCAGAAACAACCTTTCACGGCCTTCAGAAAACTTCACAGAAGCAGCAGAACTTGAAGGACCCACAAACACATGGATGTGGGTGCTAGGTAATGAAAAGATAGACCTCACTGGGATCCTTTGTTCTCCCAACCATTTTTTTTTTAATTTTCTAAACATGTAAAAAAATTAAAGTGGTGCCATGAATCTTCCTTCCGAGACGGAGGGCGATCTTGTTCAAAGAGAGAAGGGAGCAAAAATGGACCTCACACTTGGGGAACTCTGGGTGGGAATCCTTGCCTCCTTCCCTCCCTGGACGTGGAGTAAGATGACCACTTGCCCGGCCTGTTAATCAGAAATCTGGAGCCAGCAGGCTTGACCTCAGCCCTGACTCTTCCCACCCTCTTCATGGGGGTTTGTTGACCCCCAGGCATGTGAACAAGGGGTTGCCCACATTCCAGAGGTGTGGCAGATAATTGCTTTCTCCACAATTCCTACTTTGATTTCTTCGGCACAATTCACGCTCTTTATCCAAAAGAGAAAATTTCCCATTTCAGATCACCTTGATTTCTGTTCATACGTTCCGAAGAAACCAAGCCAAAAGTGCCCATATAAACTTCTTCTTCTTCTTCTTCTTTTTTTTTTAATTTCAGAATTCTCCAGGAGAAACTGGACCAGCCCGTGTCTGCTCCTCCATCGCCAAGGGACATATCCATGGAAATAGACTCTCCAGAAAATATGATGCGGCATATCAGGTTTCTGAAGAACGAGGTAGAGAGGTTAAAGAAACAGCTCCGAGCAGCACAGCTACAACGTAAGTCCCAGTTTCTTATCTGGCTGCGCTGCCTCCTGCGTCATGTAAAACTATTCCTGATCCAGAAGGGGGGATTTCCAGGCCAAGTTCAGAAGCAGAATGCTGGGTTTTTTTAGGTAGCAGACAGTCGCTACTGCAGCCTACGTGTTCCTAGGTGCTCTCTGAGTTTGTTTGTTTTCTTGCAGGCATTTCATCACCCAAACTCAGTAACTTTATCAGTGCTGATGTTATCTAGTGTAGGTAATGAAATGTGTGCAAGGAAACAACAAGGAGTTTCCAACTAAGAGAGCACCAAGGACTCCAGCCTTGAGCTATAAAAATTCCCCTTTATTATTGGTACTACATTTTCCCCTCAACTAGGATAAATACAAGTTTCAGGTCATTGATCTTACTTTAGTTCACCATAAAATGATTAGGTGTGGTTTTACAAAACTTTAGTCTGCTTAAATATACACTTTGGGGCAGGAGAAGAACATGGACTATGTTTAGCTCAATTGGAATTGCCGACTCTTTGGACGAGGCCTTTTCAAAAGATGTGAAAATGCCGTAGTCTGTGTTTTGTATATTATTATTTTTTTCGGAAAGCAACATTGGTGGCTCTAGAGAGAAGACTTCAGCTGTGAATGCCCTGATATTATCTAAGAGCATTATGCCATCCTCTGGACACACAGAGTGTATGGTCCTTTTGCACTCAGCAGCTTGTTGTGAGCCAAGACGTGCAACGACATTGACAAGGAAGGCCACAAAGCAAGCACAAAATAGGAGGAGGGAGGGGTTTTCTCCAAGGAACAACAACCGAGGCATAAAATGCCGGAGAAGGCTCTGTAGTGAGAAAGTAAAGAAATTTTATCCCAAAGTTTATCCTCTTTTCCTACTTATCTCCAAGCTTGGAAGCAGTGGTGAGGTTTGAACTGTCCAAAAGGGCCCTGAACATCTAGAGGATATCCAGATGGGCTGCTGGTGGGATCACCTTCCCATCTTGGGAATCTGTCATTTTTGGCATAGAAAAGCAGGTCTTAAATGCTCAGAATTCGATCAAGTCGTGATCCGAACGAAGTTCTCTAATGCAGTGGTCCCCAACCTTTTTTGTACCAGGGACCGGTTTCAAGCAGAAAATTTTTGCAAGGACCGGGGGGGGGGGGGGG